GGGGGGCGCGGGTACCTGTAGAACGCCGGAGGGCCGGCCTCGCGCAGGGCATAGCCGCTCGGCTCGTCCTCCAGGTAATAGGGCACCTGCTGGCCTTGGGGGTGCAGGTAGGGCGAGAGCTGCGGCGGCGGGTGCAGCAGCATCAGCGGGCTGGGAGACACGCTGTTGAGCGGCGGGAAGCCCCCCAGGCCGTTGGCGCCGAACGCCGCCGCCTCGGACCCCGGGCCGTAGGCGAGGCCGGACTGGCCGTAGACGGACGCGGAGGCGGCGGCCGCGGCGTTGAAGTCATACGCGGCGCTCTCGGGGTAGTCGTACACGGGGGGCTTGCTGCTCTCCACGTACACCTCGCCCAGGGGCCGCTCCAGGGGGATCTTGAGCTGCGGGCGGTTCAGGGGCTCCAGCTCGTTCCCTTGGATCTGGTGGAGCAGGGCCATTCCGGATGCTTTGGTGTGGAGGGTCATGGTCATGGCCAGTGGCCGCGGGCAGGGCGCATACCGTCTCCCCGCGCGGCGGAGGGCTCAGCAGCCGGCCGGCCACCTGGAAGAAGAGCACAGCCCGCGGTTAGAGGCGGCGCAGCGCATGTCCCGCCGCGACACCGACTCCGGCCCTGCCCCGGGAGCCGGCCCGTCCCGTGGAGCCCGCGGCCGGACGCGAGCAAGTGCAGCCCCGCGCGAGCGCGCTCCGCCAACTCCCGGGCTCGGGTCTCCAACTTTAAGTACCGGTCTCCCGAGCTCATATGCATCGCAAAGGTGCTGGAAGGCGGCCAGGGGCTGTTGCCTTGCCCTGACATTGGCTTAAACATCACTCCGGGCGCAACTTGTTTTGGAGCGATCCCAAAGAGCAGCTTCCCTGAACTTTACTTTACTTGTCGCTGCTGGATGGAGGCTGAACTTCAGTGCAGGAGGGCGGGGGCGCCGAGCAATCTCCTAAAGGTGGCCCAGGGAAGATGGGGTTTAAAACATACTCGGAAGACTAATTCAGGGGCCGGCTTTCTCTAACGTGCTGCCTTATGTGCCCCGTGCCAGACTCCAATCTATCTCTGTTTGTCTCTCTGTCTGTTTGATTCACTCTCCTTGTTGGCTGGAAATATGTAGTGTGTACATAGAATGACCCTGGGGAGGACCACTCTGTAACTGAGATATGGCAGATAGAATAGGGTGTACGGTTGCATATGCAGCCAGCCACAGACAGCTATATTTAGCAGCTGCAGGGACTGACAGAAGGCATCTAGGGAGAAGGGGGTGGAGATTTAAGGTGTACATATAGGAAGAGCTGCATTTTGCAATCTGGAGAATGCTGACGGACCTCAGTTTCCTTATCCGCAAAATTCTTCCAAAGTGGTCCATTCTAGCCAGGACCTTCTGAGATTCTCCCAGTCGGACTTGTATGTTTTTGTTGGACCACAGCACTGTACTTCCTCCCATTAGGAATTCTCATGTGAATGATGATTCACAAAAACCTTTGGTTAGGAGCACACGGGGTTCATGCCTTCCACAGGTTATGCAACCAAAACTTCAGAAAACTGAATATGAAATGTGACCTTTTCATATAACGCGTAACCTCAGGTCATTAACCAAATTCTTGGCAATTATGTTACACTGTTGGTCGAACCAAGAAATTTTAAAATGCAATGGTACATTTCTGTTCTTTAATTCTACAACTGGACCTTCTTGGTTCACTTTGGCTAGGATATGCAGAATCAAATATCCAGATAAAAAGGAATAGAAAAAAGTTTTGAACTGAATTAAAAGGTAAGCATACACACACACACATATATAAACAAAAACATAAGGTAAATATACTGTGCACCCATATTCTTGGATAGTTTATACTTTTTAATAAACTTCCTTTGCCCCAGCCTAATAGACTCTGATATGACCATCAGATACAACCATTAATACTTTGCTGTAATTGCTATCCGAAACACCCAACAGAGTACCTGACAAATCTTCATGGCATATAAGGATGCCAAGGTTGCTGTTACTAATGGCAAAATTTTTGGATATTTTTATACTAATAAGTACACATTTTACCTAATTCTTACAAGAACAGACAGACTATTGGGGGACAATATGCAGATGTAGCTGATTTATTATGAAGCTAAAATTGAGCTTAGCATCAATAACTATCCATTGTAAGCAAAGAAAGGGTTAAAAACACATTAGGTGAATCACAGATATTTCTCTTTATGGCCAGCAACCATTACTTTCCAAAGCAATTTTTTTACAGATGATTTCGTTTTCGTAAATTACACTTCCAATTTTCAGATGTCTTTTTTAAACACATGCAAAAGCACTTCATAGGGCTCTTAAAAATCTGAACCTGCCGAATTATATAGAAATTGCACAAAGAATCCTACAAGTCTTGAAAGAAAAAGGAGACGCACACATAAACCCATGGAAAACAGCAAATCCTCATCTCCCTGCTAGGATACAGACACTGGCCAGAAAGGTAAGTTGCTTTCTCAAAATGCTCAAGCTACGAAGAGAGAAATCAAAACAATCCTACCCTGCTGGATCAAGAGCGTCTTTCCAGAAATGTTCCATGGGCTTGGAGAAGTCAAGGGCTTGACAGTGAGAAGGGAGGAAGGAATGTGCTCACATGTGCGGGTGGCTCCGTGTGTGAGCGAGGCAGAGCGTGTGTGGATGTGTTTGTGTGTGGAATGGCAGGGATTCGGGAAGCAGCCAGTAGGCAGGGCACTTGGCAGCCCCTCCCGGCAGACACAGCAGCTGGGCTGCTGCACAGAGCTGGATGAATGGCAGTGGAGAGTGAGGAGAAGCTTGCTGTCTGCTCGTGGGGAGCAGTGTGGCACAGCTAGAGTCAGCATTATTGGGGAGAAGCAAACTCCAGCATCCTTTGCTCCTTATCCTGGGAGCCTGAAAGTGCCCCATGCTTTCCACTGCCATCTTGAGCAACAGGGAGAACAGGCTTGCTGTAAATCATAGGCTTACGGCTAAAATAGAATGCCAGTCAAAAGTATATGGCTATCAAGTTTACAAAATGTGACATGGGTGGTTTCTCCTGAAGAATATAATTTAACAATAAAGGCCTTCTGGGATACGCTTGGATCAGATGCCTTGCTGGCCCAAGCTCCCAGTCTCCGAACAGACACACTATTGCCATGCCTCCGATTGCACCAGGAAACCAGACTTCGGAATAAATGTTTTGGCATTCTAGGGATGTGTTTCCAGCTGAAATGTAATATTCCTCCACCTCATCAACCAAACCCACAAACCTTTCCACGAATAGCTCAGTTGACTGTTTTCTGTAAACATATGAAAAAATATGTTATTAAAAGCCTGGGGTACGAAGATAAGACAAAGGTGGGTGCCTTTGTTTTAAACTGATTTTAGGCTCTCTGGTTGTGCCAGCGTTGATCATGGGGATGGGGCTCTCATTTCCCAATGATGCCCAATGGATCCATCTGGTCTTCAACTTGTCTCTTGACCATGATACTAACACACGATAATAAGGTGTTCCTAGTGTGCCCTCGCCTAGGGTTTCAGGACATGTGACACCTAGGGGACCCTTTGCTGCCAAACATTAGTCACTCCCTTGGGTATTAAATGACCCTAATCACAATGCCAGGAGTGGCCAGTCTCTGGCCGTGAGACCCTATGCAGTTACCGAGAGATTTATGAGTGGCTCTTCAGACCATTCTGAAGTAAAGAAAGAAGTAAAAAGTTATTTGAAAAAAAAAATTACAAAATGTTAATGATGTCATAATGCCAAAATTTATTTTGTACTTTGAAAGGCCTGAAATATTGCTATATTGGAGCACAGAAGAACCCTCTCTACAATCAGCGATAAAGTCAAACATTGAAAAGCAAGCCAGTTACCCTTTGTATGTAGGTGATGGTGGTGAATCCTGACTTCTCCTTTGCATCAGCGGTGGCCACCCATGCAGTAGACCAGTCCAAAATAAAACAAGAATGTGCAAGGAAGGGAGGAGAGAGAAGGGAAGAGAAGGAATGGGAAAAGGAGAGAAATAAAGAAGGAAGAAGAAAGAAAGGGAGAAAGAGAAAGGAAGGGGAATCTGCAACTGTTCTCCTTGAACGTAGGAAGGATACGAAGTCTAGCTATCTCTTCATAGACTTTGATTATTATGAGGCTAACGATGAAAGTTAGTCCAAGATGTCCAACAAGGGCAGTTTTCTTAAACACTTTCTCTCCAGCGTTCTCTTTCCCCTCCTTGGTAAGATTCGTCCTCCAGGCTTGGTGATAGGGGGTGGGAAAGGATACTGCACCTTGCCAATTTTCTTCTAGTGCTTGTTTGCCAGAGGACTTTGAGGGCTGTCTTTCCCTTGCCTTCCATATTCTGCAGCATTCTAGCTATGCAATCTCTCCCTTTTCCTTCCACTTCTATCACCCTCCTTCAGCCCATCATTCCCTTACCTGTTGTAAGAGCCTCCTAGGGACCTCTGCTTCTTCCCTCCTCCCACTTCTTCCCAGATTCTGCTGCCTTTTGTTTTCTTGGTTTTTATTCCTTCGGGATACATCTTCTCGGCTCCACCATTGACCCAGATCGTAGCTTCCTCAGGAGTCAGGCCTTCCTCTCTTCCCATAACTATCCTGTCTAGTGTATGTCAGGGAAGAGCATACCCTTTTTTAAGGTCCAGCCCAAACGCCACCACATCCATTATGCCTTCCTTTATTCTTTATTCAAAGGGAATTTCCTCTTCTCTGAACTCCAGTGGTATTTCTCATGCATTTATTACATTCTTCCCTGAATTAGAGTTATTTTTTTTTAAAGATTTTATTTATTTATTTTTCCCCCAAAGCCCCAGTACATAGTTGTCTGTCATAGCTGCACATCCTTCTAGTTGCTGTATGTGGGACGCGGCCTCAGCATGGCTGGAGGAGTGGTGCCTCGGTGCGCACCCGGGATCCGAACCCGGGCCGCCGGCAGCGGAGCACACGCACTTAACCGCTAAGCCACGGGGCCGGCCCAAGAGTTATTTATATATATTTTATGCCCTCATCCCACTCAGAAGCTCCTTGAGGACAGGGTCTACATAGAGTTATTTGGGAATTCTCTGAGTGCCTAGCACTGTGTCTGCTCATATTAGGTCATCAAATATTTGCTAATTTATTAATCAGGATTCTTAAAAGGATAAGATAATATTACATCCTTTTTGATAACCATCTCGAAAAGCTAACTTTCCATGTAATGTTCTACCATTTATAAAACTGTTTTTGCTAAAAGATTATCTTTGTATCCCCATAATGACTGAGGCCATAAAGTCAAAATTCAAATTCATACAATCTTGAGGATTAAGCCTGCAATTCTTGGCAGCATGATTCACAAGAGAGCTCTGAATTTTTAGTTAGTAACCAGATAATATTATGACCAAACATGGTTTCTTCTCTAGCTCCATTAAAAGCCTTTTACATTTACAAAAACATTATTCCTCCAACAGAAACACGAAAGAAAATAAATGTGGAAGTATTTCCAAAATAGCTTATACTACTAGAAATTGTTCCTTCACTCCAAGACATGAAGGTTAGCTATGTTCAAACTGATCATTATTTTGATTATAAATGCCCTATTTGGGAGCTCGTCTTTGAGCATTTATTTGACACCATTCATTTTCCTCTGAAGTGGAACTAAAATGAAAATTTTCCTTTTAAGTTTCTGCTCATTTTAAAAATAGTGCAGCCTATTTGTTTTAAGGGCTTGTGATTAGCTCCCAGACTTTTTTCCACTGACTTTTGATTTTTGTTTTAT